GTGCAGGACCCGGCACTTGGCCTTGTTGAACCTCATACAATTGGCCTCGGCCCATCGATCCAGCCTGTCCAGGTCCAAATCAATTAATAAAAAGCAGTATTTCAATATAGTACTGTGCAAGTGATGAGAATAAGAAACAAAACAACAGTGCAGCATTTCTACAGACAGCCCATTTAAAGATAAAAACTTGTATGTGCCGTTCTATCCTGATTATGGTGATCATAATTATTTTCAAATTACAGATAAGATTAACATATAATCAGCTATTTTATTCATTAGGTTAACATAATATTTATAGTGTTAGATGTTACTAAATGAGATAATGGTTACAAGACCTTTAGTTTTACATGTAGTGGGGTTTTATTTTGAACTATTTGCTCCCTGAGTGCATTCACACGGATTCCTCAATATGGTTTCCCTAGAACCTCTTTACATTTGGGAAAATAATTGTTTTATACATTTGTATACTTAGGAGACAATATTTTTTTCTTTGGAATTAAATGAACAATTGTCTCCCAAATCTAAAAGAATATAGACCAATGATAGTAATAAAATCTGAAGAAGATACCAGATAATGACTTAAAATTTGTTCTCAGAGTTCTGCCCTTACATTCTACAGGAATCAGATCACTCTCTGAAAGCACGTATTTCATTCTCTGGGAAGTCACCCTCTACCTGCCACCCACAACCTGCAGTCTCGTAAACATGCGTCTCCCAGGAGTCCTGGCTCTGGTTCCCGGATCAGCTTCTGGGCATCAGAAGTCACCAGCCTCTGCCACAAGAGAGACCTTGGGAGGTACAGCCGGAACGCCCGGGGCACCATGCATCGTACCGCAAAAGGGTACGGGCTTATCTACCACACCGATACATGCTGCCAAACAAGCTTCCACATGATTTCTTTGATCTCTGAGTCATAACTGTATTTTTTTATATTCTTAAATTCCCAAACTCAGCCGAAGGGATATTTGGCAAGGGATAAGAAGTTCTGACAAGTTTTCTTTATCACAAATGCAGTAAAACCATAGTTCAAAAGGCTACATGTTTTTTAATTATATACACAGATATGTACATATAAGTATACAATTTTCCTTGACTGTTAATAAAAGGCTATCCATATTTTTATATATACACAAATACGTACATATAAGTATATAATTTTCCTTGAATGTTAATAACTCAGAAACAAAATATTTTTCCCCTCAAAAATCTCAGAATGTATTCGTGTTTGGGCTGAGACCAAGCATGGGACACTACCACCTCAAAGATACATTTTTGAGCATAGTATGACTACATTGCAGAAGGGACTATAATTATAATCTTGCCATTACCATAACGACCGTGGTTGCTATCAGGTGACAGGTATAATATAGATAATCGGCAGACAGTACAATAGCAATATTTAATGATGCATGAGATAGAAGAAAATTAATTCATGCCTTTAATTCAGCTCAGAGCCATCATTTCTTGTATTTGTGTGTGACTTTCCTAATCCTGTTAGCATGTACATAACAGTTACAATAAACAGCAAAGTGCCAAGCAAGATATCTACTGCGGAATCCAGAGAGCTTACATTTATTCATCATATACAATGAATAATTTTTGTGTTCCTATTTATCTCTTCTTTTTTTAATGTGATAGATAGTTCTACTGTCTTGTTTTAATACCATACAAAAAAAGCCGATAGCCACAGAGGGAGCTATGAAAAGTGCCTTTGCCTTGAAATCAAACAGAAGCAGTAGTGAGGCTGTTCTTTTGTTTTCCCATGTTGCAGTCTACCAACACTCTCATTTAATCAGCCTGAGAGAAATAATGCCACAAATTGAAAAAAACTAATCTCGAGTAAAGGAAGATGCTTTATTGAATAAAAGAGGGACAATTATGCTCACTGAAGGAGCTAACATGGCTGCACATTTCAAATCCTGCAAGATTTTACCACTACCTTTATAAAAAAAGATTAATTGAAAGAGAAATTTTTATGGAAACGGACACTCCTGCAATGAAGCTATTCCAATATGTGTAGATAGCAACGGATGAAATGCAACAGAAGAGAAACAAGTAATACTCAAACGTAGATATGAAGAAGTACTATTCATATATCTTCACAATATTTCTGGTTATTACCTCTGTTCAAACCTTGCTGCTCCTGTATCCACAGCTACAACACCGCTACAGCCATTTCACTGAGCCTTGGAATGAAAGATGCGAAGTTTATAAAGAATCACAGAAACAGTGTTTTATGAAATTACATCAAAGTCGGTGGCAGAGGCTCTAGGGTGAGAAGAAAGTGGCTATCCCAGCACTGCGGTACACTGAGGCAAGGCAGAAAAAGAGGGCAGAAGAAAACAAGGAGGACATTTCACTGTGACACCTCAGTGGAGCAAACGCGAAGCAAAGTTTGTGTAATGCTTTGCAAAACTATGGCTATTGTTCAATTCATCAACTTTATCTCTCAAGCTCTCTCTCTCATAGTTTTCTTCTGTTGCTAATGCTCACTTCATTGCTTTTAGACTGACATTGCTCCTCCATCACATCTTCAGCTTCAGAACAGATCAGGATGGATGCAGCTCTTGCCTGAAGCATATCTGCATTTTTAATTCTGCCCTGAGACTGTCACAGGACAGGTGAAGACTCCAGACAGCCTGAAGACAGCTATTAAGAAATTTCCACCTGAGATGGCAGATTCATGAAGCTATGAATAAAATAACAAGATATCAAAGATATCTCTTCCAGGTATAGTAGTTGCTGCTGTTTCTCCCCCCTAGGACTGCACTTCCACTTTCCTCACTCAACTGCTCTCTGAACCCTCAGGAAGAGAGGGAAAAGAAAGGCCAAGTCCTGCTGCAGTAATCAAAATTTGGCCTCACTGAAAAGCCCAAGCTGCACAGCTGTTTTTTGCAAATATTAATACCTTCTCTAATGGCAATATCACAGGCAAATGCCACCAGCGTGTCCATTCAGAAAACAGCAAATGTGAGAACCACCTACGGTATGGCTCTATGACGGCATTTTTCACCAGCAGCTGTTTCACTCCTGAACACAAGGCATCTTTGGTCTTAAGTGAAGCTTTTCAATAATAGCAGCTCCGTCTTTGTTCCTTGTACCTTGGTCCTTGAACCACGGGAGCTGGTTCTGTCCAGTGAGAATGAGAATTATTTGTTCTTCCTTTGTGTTTCTTTAATAATTAATACTAAATAGGGGTTTCATCTGCTGTCACTTCTAAAGCAGCAAGAAAACTTTTGAAGCAGAGGATGATCTTACAGAAGTACAGAAAAAAAGGCATTTAAAGAATGCTGAAAAATTTTGGCAGAGGCACATTTTTGTTACTCATTATTTCAACCCATTGTCCCACAAAGGCGTAGTTCAGCATGGTGAAGCCTATGGTGCTACACAGCTCCCTTGTTTGGCTTGAGCTCCCCCTCCAACAGACAGTTTGCTTTCCTTCCGAACAACTCTCAAAAGCTTGGCTCTATACTTATGATAAGCTTGGTGTGGCGTTGCAGGTTAGATATCCTATAGTTTGTCCTAAAACCCGAACAGTTAACCTTCCTGGAGTGGTTATTATGTTTCTTCAGAAACCCAAAGCTTCAGGCCAGAAAGCAGCCACAAGTGGTTTTTCTTCAGGATTATTTTGTTTCCAGTTCTTTAATTTCATGAATACCTGCCCCAACTAGGTGTAGGGCAAAGACTGCACAAGAAGTCTTGCCATATTGAACTCATCGCCAATAAACAAACAAGGTGGCCCACATTCTTAAAGCAGAGCTATTTTCCTTTAAGGTCATGTTTTCCAAGCCAGAAGAGATCATTAGATCACCTTGTATGGTAACAGATTGGTTTGAATACTTGCATAAGGGTGTGTATTCTGTAATGAGGTCACTTTTGAGAAGTTAATCATGAGCTCTTCAGCTACAAAGTTTTTTCCTCCAGCCTTCAAACTATTTGTGACGTTTTCCTATATTACCACTGTTTTTTACATAGCCTTAATCAAACGCAAGTATCTGTAAATATAGACACAGCATTTGCCCACTACTCTACGCAGGAAAAAACTCAGCTTCAAAACCTACTCGGTCCGAAGTAGAAATTTAAGTATGTGGGATTCGTCCCTCAGTTCTTTAGTCTCAGTTTACATTTGTCTCCCAAAACTTACACTGCTCAAGGAGTCATGCCCTGATCAGCAGGATCAAGTACTTCTCCCTTAGTGAAGGAAATTACAGAAAATACTGAGGAAAGGGAAAAAGAAAGAAAGAAAATAGACTATTACCCTGGTAAAATGATGACAGTGCATGGGAAGGACTGACATAAAAGAGCAAAAAAAGGTAGCTTGCTTAGAAGTTAAACAGTCACGAGAAAAGCTATTTTCGCTGCCATTTGGGAAAGGGACTTCTGAATTTAAAGAATACTGCAATAATCTAGTTATGTGATTTAAGATGAAATAGAAAGCTAAAGTATACGTTGTCACTTTTTTCTTTAATGAAATGCTACACTTAAACGTCTTCATTTGAAAATAATCTGTATGTGGGTTTTTTTAAAAATAGCATCAATTTGGTAGTTAGAAAAAAAAGGTTCACAGTGTGCTCATAGCTGACTGAATCTGGAGGCTAGCTAAGATGTTATCCCCGCTTGTAAGTCCAGTAATGCTGTTGAATGCAGTCTCCATAAGAACGCTGATGCAATTCATACCTTTAGTCTTCTTTGATTCCAGAGGTTAAAGAAAATTTGCTGGTGTATGGAATGCTTTGTTAAAAGAAGAAATTGAGAATACAATTGCATGGTTTTATTTATTAAGAAAAGCATAGAATTGTGTTTCCTCACATAGATAAAGAATCAAATAATTTGAGATGGTTTATTTCATCATAATCCCAGGCCCCTTTTGGCTTTCAAACTTTTCTCTGTGTTGTTTCTCAGGATCACACTGTTAGTGCCCCTGTCCTGCTATCTTCATCTCCTCTTGTCGTATTTTCCCAGCTTCACTTTGCTGCCTGTACTTTTTTACGCACCTTTGTTTAGGGCAATGATTGTCCAGTTTTGGTGGAGGCCCATATTATTGTAGCTACCTGATTCCACAAAGCAGCTCGACGGCTTTTTACAACTATCTTAAATTAAGGGTAACTTCAAAAGATTTAATCCAAACTATAACTTCATGAACACCCTCTGCAAGCAATTTTCACAAATAACCATATTTCTGCCTTAGGGTGTTATTCTGAGGCATCACAATTTTACCTTCAAAAAGCAGGTCCCACACTGCATGGGCAAACCACAAACTGAGTGGCAGATTGACTTAGGCCATAACACACCAAATGGCTGTTTTCAAGCCACATCAGTTTAACCAGCCAAAATTCATCCAGCCTATTACTAACTCCTAGTTGCCCTCATTTCCAGAAGCCCTGAGAAAATAGCAAAGGAATAGGCATCTATTGCACATGAACAATGCGGCTGATCTGCACTACTGTATAATAAATCCAATGCTTTAATGAGATCACACCCCTCATCTAATATACCTGAAGCCAGCTGACCAGCCATTCTAGGAAGGGCAGCTTTAGACCGTGCTCAGACAACTTGCTTGGCACAACACCAGAGCAAAGGAAAACCTCCCTTGAATTGCTGACAAGATCTCCCACCATCTTAATTTACACCTCTTGAAAGATTGTTTGGTTGAGACATTTTAAAGGACAATTGGCAACATATCCCTTGCATCTGTAAATTAGTTGTTTGAGCATGACAGAAATTCATATTGAAGAAAAGTCACCATTAAACTAGCAGCGGACACATTTGAATCAGCTGTAAAAGTAAAGCATAGATGCCAAAAACTGAGAGTCAGATCAATTTTCTCAACCGAGAAGCAGTACCGCAGAGCCAGGAGAAGTTGAGCTAAGCCGAGCTTCCATTGCAATTTACCATGGAGTATTTACAATGTGGAAATACAAAGAATATGGCTGTAGAACAAGGCATACAGGACTTTTCTGAGCAGTAATTTCTCAGAGAAACTGATCTTAAGTTGAGACAATTACTCTTTCTTAATTACTTTAAATTAAAATTCTTTTCTGCGTAATGCTATTTAGGTCACCTGAGTATATTAAAACAGTCAAAGATTTACAGTCAGATGTAATTACATCAAACTTTCCAAGGGATTTCCAGCTGTTCTCTGGAATTAATGCATAGCATAAGGATAGCTGACTGGAGTCTTGTACATGATAGCATTTTTTATACATGTTTGCATTTAAAACATAGTCTATATAAAATACAGGCATTTCAGATTTAACTTGCATGCTATTTTACAAGGGAAGAAGCCCAGAAGTTCCAGGTATCTGGTGTTCGGACACTGAATTCTGAAACAGGTTATTGCTTTAATTCCAGACTAACATGTTCCATAGCCAAAAACGGGGGGGGGGACGTTGTCTAACTTTTTATTTTGAAGTTTGTTCTTTTGCTTGTGGGCCTAGTACTGAGCTTTACCAAGTGTCTTCAGTTCTTTTAGTCATGGTGGGAAGTGGTGATGTGCATCCTTCTGTGGGTTCAAGCCTAAGGATTACTTTATAGTAATCCTATTTATAGGATTATTTATAGGACCCTGTTTATAGTAGAACAGGGTTTTACCCCCAGGTGGCCCTTGGATTAGCTTTATTTTGGCGGTGACCCAGAATATTTTCCAGAATCGGTATAGGTGTGGTTAGAACAGTTTTCCTTCTCCATTTGCTGCACAAAGCTAGCAAAAGCACAGTCACTGTGATTAGGATGAGAGATTACAACAAGGATATAGTGGCTCCTCCACTCTCCAAGACATGTGCACAGTGTTGATAAAAAGAAATCTTGCATATCTTGTCTGTTCATGTTTCCTTGCTAGCCCTCCCCATCTTTCTGATGCTGTCCCTCAGTGGTACACTGTCTCTCACAGTGTCTCCAAGATGGAGGAAGAAGCTCTCTGTAAGCCTCAGACTCTAAGAAACTTCTCTTACTTTTCCACAGGTCCTTGTAAGTGGCTAAAGCTGTTTTCAAGATGTTGATACATTTTCAGGATGTCAAGATTTTTTTTTTTTTTATTTTCCTTTTGAGGCCTTGGTTCCTTTTCTTTGTCAAATCCTGACCTCAAGAAGAATCTTTTCTGTGATGATGGCGAAATTTTTTGTTTAGAAAAATAAAATATTGGTATGGGGATTTTAGATACATCATTGTATCATAGATGCCTAACAGGTCTTAGACTTGGGAAAAAATGAAATTCTTCCCTTCGTCTGTTGAAACTCAAACCCCATCAGGTAAGGCAAGCAAAGTGTGGAGCATTACAAAATATGGCCATAGGGCCTTTTGTGTTATACCCATCGGGCTTGTCTTTTCCTTGTTATTGTCCCATCATTCAAATATCCTCACGAGAGCTGCCAAGCTCGTATTAATACCTGTCACCCAATGCAACAAGCTCTTCTCATGAAGAACTTTCCTATGTTCCCATGTGTCCATTCATCTTCTCAAGATAGCACAATTTAGGTGATACTGCTCTGTTTCAACGAGCAATGCCCATGGATTCAGAAAACAACTACCTTCTTCCAGCCTTTTGTACCAAAAGGCAAACAGAGCGCTAAGTATCATCACCACGAGAACAGCAGCAACTGTGTTGGAAAAGAGGAAGGAGGTGGTCGAGCAACAGAGAAGGAAACACAAGGATTTTGGGTCCATTCCTGGGAGGAACATGGCTGCAGCGCTCACCACCGCAGTTTGTTTCCCTCGCCACCCTCACTGCGAGGAGCTGTCGCCTTTCCAAATGCCACACAGAATCTGTGATTTTATATTTAGCAAAGGCTGCGAAATCGCACTTCAGCAATAATGTATTTAATAGAAACACAATAAACTGGTAACTGAACAGGAGATAAGGTTAGATGGACAACACTGGTCTCCATATTGCACTGTATTTTATCGAGCGCATTACCATAGGCAGAGGCCTTTGTCAAAACAGGTCTTATATAAAGAGCTCTCAAAACAAAATATCCAAACCAGATCACCAGGAAGGCGTATCTGTTTTTCTTTTTAACCGTTTCCACAGACAGCATCATCCGGAAGTTTGCCAGAGGAAAGCTGAAGGAGGGTCTCGCATGGAGCACAGAGAGTAGGTAACCTGGGGGAAAGGAAGCAGTTCCCGGTGGATTTGTGTGTGTGGATTTGTGTGCGTGTAATGAGACACTTGCCAGTTCTTCACAAGCAAACCTTGTGCTCAGGGAGCTCACTTCAAAGAATTACTTCAAATGCTGAAAGAATTATATAGATTTTATAAAAACAAACTTGCAGTAAGTCTCAAAAAGAGCTGTCTAGGTGCCTGTCTCATATTGAAATCTTTAGAGCATAACAAGTGTTACGTATGTTGCCATATTTACCAGTTATCCCAGATTGCTAAATCCACCGCTTTTGGCTGGAGTCCTGGCCGGCAC